TTGATGCTACGTTACTATATAATTTCTTCATTCTTTGACACGCCATGGAAGAAGTGGTCGAGGGTACAACTACCGTCAAGGCTGACTGCTCCCTAGTTTCCTTGGATAGTTTCTTGTGGATGTGAAAAGAGACAGTCTATTGCTTGCAGAACAAAAGCTGTAGAGCTATACAATACAATACAATACCATAACATACCGTACTATGATACAGCACACTGCCGTACACTGCCGTACACTGCCGTACACTGCCGTACACTGCCGTATATATTACGGAGTGTGTATACACATTTATACACACGCACATACATATCTCACCAAGTTTGCAATCCTTTGAGTGTAAGATGTGCACGGGACAAAACTGGATCAAGCTACACCTTGAATCTCTTGAAGGTGGCAGTCCGAGTACGGCCTCTCAGCGACAAAGAGATTCGCGAAGGAGGAACCGAATGCGTCGAGGTGAAGCGGGAAAGTTCCAGAGACCTCCAAGCGAAACAAGCGAAAACTGCAAAGCGAAGAGGTTGCCAGGTGAGTGATACATCAATGATCCACGTGATACTTGAAACCCGCAAACCTGGTCAATTTTTGGAATCCCAAAGGCTGGAGATACAGTAAAATGAGACAAAGGGGCGAAAAAAAAGTGGATAAACAAATATAATTATATCATTATATTTATAAATATATATATATACTATGTATATATATATTATTTATATATAGTAATATTGCCCAACCTTGCAACTCACTCTGACACGTCAGGTCACGGAGAATTCGGTGACTCTGGTCCAAGAGAACCAGCAGCCGCACGTTTTTGCTTTTGATCATGTCGGGGCCTTGTGACCAGTGCGTCAATGGTCAGCTGCAAAGTCTGTTGTGTAATCCGTTTGAGTTTTTCCCCACATCTTTGTGTGGGGTTCTTGTTTTTGATTCTGTATCCCGGGCTCCTCCTCCGCCTTCTCCTCCTCCGCCCTCCTCCACACTTTGTCCACACACACTTTATCAACAAACACTTTGTCCAAAACACTTTGTCCACACACACACTTTGTCCACACACACTTTGTCACCACACACTTTGTCCACAAACACTTTGTCCACAAACACTTTGTCCACACACGCTTTATCAACATACACTCTTTGTCCACACACACTTTGTCACCATACACTTTGTCCACAAACACTTTGTCCACAAACACTTTGTCCACACACGCTTTATCAACATACACTTTGTCACCACAACACACACACACAACACACACGCACACACACACCAACAGACACAACACACAACAACACACACACACACAACACACGCACACACACACACACCAACAGACACAACACACAACAACACACACACAACAACACAACAACACAACAACACAACAACACAACAACACAACAACACAACAACACAACAACACAACCACACAACCACACAACCACACACACACACACAACAACACACACACACAACACACACACAGTTTCACGTGGCAGGCGTGGGACAAACTCACATCCACCGTCGTTTTGCGTGGCAGGCGTGGGACAGATGGCACTGGGTGGCGCCCTTGGGCCGGCTTGGGCGCCTGTGACGCCGCGGCACTTTGCGTGGCAGGCGTGGCACAACCTGACATCCACCTTCGTTTCACGTGGCAGGCGTGGCACAAACTCACATCCACCGTCGTTTTGCGTGGCAGGCGTGGCACTTATGGTACTGGGTGGCGCGCTTGGGCCGGGATTTGGCGCCTGTGACGCCGCGGCACTTTGCGTGGCAGGCGTGGCACAACCTGACATCCACCTTCGTTTCACGTGGCAGGCGTGGCACAAACTCACATCCACCGTCGTTTTGCGTGGCAGGCGTGGGACAGATGGCACTGGGTGGCGCCCTTGGGCCGGCTTGGGCGCCTGTGACGCCGCGGCACTTTGCGTGGCAGGCGTGGCACAACCTGACATCCACCTTCATTTCACGTGGCAGGCGTGGCACAAAGTCACATCCACCGTCGTTTTGCGTGGCAGGCGTGGGACAGATGGCACTGGGTGGCGCGCTTGGACCGGCTTGGGCGCCAATGACGCCGCGGCACTTTGCGTGGCAGGCGTGGCACAACCTGACATCCACCTTCGTTTCACGTGGCAGGCGTGGCACAAACTCACATCTACCTTCGTTTCACGTGGCAGGCGTGGCACTCATGGCATTGGGTGGCGCGCTTGGACTGGCTTGGGCGCCTGTGACGCCGCGGCACTTCGCGTGGCAGGCGTGGCACAAACTCACATCTACCTTCGTTTCACGTGGCAGGCGTCGCACTCATGGCACTGCGTGGCGCGCTTGGACTGGCTTGGGCGCCTGTGACGCCGCGGCACTTTGCGTGGCAGGCGTGGCACAACCTGACATCCACCTTCGTTTCACGTGGCAGGCGTGGCACAAACTCACATCTACTGTCGTTTTGCGTGGCAGGCGTGGGACAGATCATCTCTCACACACCGTCACAGACCATCTTTCACACACCATCTTTCACACACCGACTTTGTCACACGCCATCTTTCACACACAACTTTGTCACACGCCATCTTTCACACACAACTTTGTCACACACCAACTTTGTCACACACCATCTTTCACACACCAACTTTGTCACACACCATCTATCACACACCTCTTTGTCACACCCCACCTTTCATACACCATCTTTCACACATCACATTGTCACACACACCATCTTTCACAAACCCTCTTTCACACACCACTTTGTCACATACCATCTTTGACACACCGCTTTGTCACACACCACTTTGTCACACATCACATTGTCACATACCATCTTTCACACACCACTTTGTCACACGCCATCTTTCACACACCGTCACAGACCATCTTTTCACATCATCTTTCACACACCATCTTCCACACACCACTTTGTCACACACCATCTTTCACCACACCATCTTTCACACACAACTTTGTCGCACACCATCTTTCACCACACCATCTTTAACACAACTTTGTCACACACCATCTTTCGCCAAACCATCTTTCACACACCAATTTGTCACACAACATCTTTCCCACAACTTTGTCACACGCCCTCTTTCACACACAACTTTCGCACACACCATCTTGCACACACCACTTTGTCACACACACTATCTTTCTTAGTCACACACCAGCTTTCACATACAACTTTGTCACACACAACTTTGTTTTACTTCTCGGTCCTCCACCACCTCCTTTGTCTTTCCTTCCTTCCCCGTCCCCGCTACAACATTTGGTGCTTTTTATTCAAAGAAGTTGTCTTGTGGGGTTATCCGGTCCTTTAATTTTTGAAGCGTTTTGAATGGTGAAGCCCGGTGAAGCTTGCAGACTTTTGATCCTTGAGCCATCCTGCCTTGAGCCTTGATTTATGTCTTGCCGCTTTGAGGTCTTTGGCGTTGACTCGACACAGCCGCAGGTTTTTGACATGCCGTGAACCTGGCCATGACTCCATGACTAAAACACGAATAAAACACGCAAAGTTCCAGAAATTCCATTGTAGCAGTGTAGCACATGCGTCATGCATTGCATGAGGCTTGGCATGCCGCTGCTGGACACTGGTTTGCACTTGTGATTGCTCATTTTTCTCATTTCTTGTGAGCCCTGTAATCCAAAACGGGGACTAAAGCCAAAGAACAAAGCAACTGTAGTGCTCCAGAACATTCTCCGAACACCGAGAGGAGCTTTGGCAAAATGGTTCCTCATTTGTCAGGACAAAGCCTTTGAAGGATATAATGCGACCGTTTTTGCTTATGGTCTGCCACCCAGCGGCTGTGTATCAGCACCATGTCAGACTGTCACTCGTAGTGTTCCGTTGGACTTTTTCCGCCCAGGTCAGACAGGGTCTGGGAAGACTCACACGATGTAACGTCCCAAGTGGAGAGAGCCTGCTTTTAGAGACAAAGACCATGCAGACGATGGATGATCGAAGAAAGTTTTCTATCCAATGGACTGAACCAGCAAAGGTCCAAACAACTTGGATTTTGTCGTTGGCTTTAGGGCATCCAGAAGATGAACAGTGATGTGATATGCTGAAAACAGGAAATGTATGGCGTGCAGAAGAGTGATACACAAAAATGCTGGGAAGGATGGCGGACCGCAAGTCTGATGATCGCGGACTGTCATGCTCTTAAAAGCCAAACTGCGAAGTGAGAGCAGGGCTCCAGTGAAACAAATTTTCTATGAGGATACCTCGGATCTCAGACAATCTCTTTCAGCGTGTCGGAAGCCTTTCTTCGGAAGCAGCCTCAGTACATACTGTACCGTGACTGTACCATGTGAAAACCATTGAAAATTGCGCCTTTAATCCACATATTTTCCTTTGCGCGCCTCGTTCCTTCTATATGTTCCATTCACCGCCATTCACCTGCTCTGATGGAGGAAACTCACAAGTTCCTAATCTGCTGTTCCTTCCTGGAGATCTACAATGAGGCGCAATGGCAGTAGGATAACCATGGAAAACATGTTGCGGCTTGTTTTGACATCATTTTGATCAATGTGCACCATGCGCAGATTGTCTATGACCTTCTGGTTCCCCGGGGCAAAAATGCGCCTAAAACAGGCCTGGGAAGGATCATGGAAGCTGGTGAAAAAAAGCATGGCAAGACCTTCGTCATAAGTCATAAGTTTCCTTTTTGTTCCTTTTTGTTTCTTTTTGTTTCTTTTTGTTTCTTTTTGTTTCTTTTTGTTTCTTTTTGTTTCTTTTTGTTCTACCTGACTTGACTCTCACTCTTGCCATCGTCTTTCATCATCTTTCTCGTTATCTGCTCTTTTATTGGGTTGGGATTTTGCTGCCCTAGCTGCAACTCGCTCGTTCCCACAATCAAGCAATTTGCTGTGAAAATATACCGGTCCTCAAATAGTGCTAGTCAGGTTGCAAGTTTTAACTTTGGCTTTGACTAGCGGGTAGCAGGTTGTAGGCCCGAAACATTTGTCATACGGACTTGTAAATGTACAGCGGCAGTAACGAGGCTGGACACCCCAGTATTGTTGCAGTGGTTCTAGGTGTGAAAAAGTATGTAATTCTTCATTGCTGTTTTTCTTTTCGGCAGGAATGCTGCGACCCGTGATGCTTCCCAGGTCTTGAAATTCGTGAAGGGAAAGGCATTGGCGTCTACGTCAAGGCGATTCTTCGTCCCAAGTTCAGCTGGAAGATTCAAGAGTGCAACAAGCCAACAAGCGAACAAATTGTTCGACTGCAGTATGTCGAACTTTTCTCTCTTCATCTGTGGTCGGACTCTTCCGTCGAAGCATGGAGCTCCTTACATCCTCACTTCCTAATTTGAGTGCCCTACATTGTGTTCCTTGGGTTTCTTGCGTGATGTGTTGGACCCTGTGGTGGGCAAGAGCTGATGGCTCATGTTTTCAAGACAGAAAATCTCGGTCAAGGGCGGCATTAAGCCGGCGAAGCTTTGGATCAAAATCATTTGTGACCGCAGTGTGGCTTGGCATCTCTTTCACATTCTTTCACCTCATTCTCTTGTTATTCGCTTGACATCTCTTGCCACTTCGTTCTCCTGACATCTCTTGCTCCCAACGTTTCTTTTTCTTTCCATCTCTTTGTCTTGACAGCTCTTGCTCTAGAAACCTCTTCCTCTTGACACTTCTTTCGTTGACATCTCCTTCTCTTGACAAGCCTTCGTCTTGGCATGCTTCTCTCTAAGGATTTTGAAAAGCCAGGTGCAGGCAGCAAAAAACATGAATTATATATATATGAAATACACATCGCCAAACAGAACCATTGTGACAGCAATCCGTGAGCAACGATTGGATTGCAAACCGCTGTAGCACTAGCACACATGTGCACAGCAACTGGAGCTGCCAGAACAGCAAACATAACACGACTGAATCCTTTCTTAAGGAATTTTAACTTGGAAGCAACTTGAAAGAGAAAATGCATCCGCCAAGATGTGAAAATCCCATCACCAAACTGTTGACATCACCAGATTGCAAAACGCAACAGCAGAAAAGACACACGTGAAAAGTCACCTTGCTGGATTTCAGAACACAGCAGCAGCAATTTGAACGTACGAAGCAAGCACTACATTGCAAACCACAGCAGCATCAGAGCGCAGCCAAAGTCACCTTGCCGTTCGTATGCGCGGTATCTTTGACGTAGTTCCAATGAGCAGAGTTCCAGAGGGTTGCAAAAGACACTTGCAAAACACCATAGCATGAGAGTAGCAAGAACCGACAGAAGTCACTGCCTCAATTCCAATACGCGCGGGTTTCGACCGTGGACCGATGCCCCCCGCACCCGTCGCGCAACTACTTTTTCACGCCAACGCACAATTACTTGAAAAAATTACCGTGTGTCATCGCCTTTCTACCTCTCCAACCGCAGTTGGATGCAACAAGTGCACTGCGGAAAGTTTCACAGGGCAAGACACAACAGAATTCACGGCAGAATGGTGACGTGAAGTGGTGATGCTGTAAAGCTGTGTTGATGCGAGGTGATGCAAAGGGGTGATGATGTTGAAATCAATTCGAGCTATCCTCAACTCAGAGTTTATCTCCGAAACTTCCTTTGATCAATGCTATGCAGTATACGGTATACGTGCATAAACTAAATGACAATATTATATATATATGATGTATGATATGATATTATAATATAAAATAAGAGAATATAATATAATATAAAATAGTATAATATAACATAAAATAACATAATATAGAATAATATAATATCAATTAACTAAGATAAAATATAATAACATAATATATGATAATTATAACATAGAATAATACAATGTACACTTATATAGTATAACATAATATACACATATACGCTTTGTATCCGATCAAAATTGGTGTATTCGTACTGCTGTGCATTGTCACATTGTAGGACCTCCAAGAGATTGTCGTTGACAGCTCCGACAAAGTCTTGAAGCTGATCGACCAAGGAGCGACAGCTGCAGTGCGGCGTTGCGTTGTGTTGCACAGCTCGGGCAGCGTTTTCTACATTTCTTGCAACATTTCTTGTAGTTTTTTCCGTTCTTTTGTTGTTCCTCCTGACTTGAAGTCCATTTTCCCCCGAATGTCTCTGAATGCTGCTCAAATTTCAAACTTCTCAAAAAGGTTCCTCAAACCAAAGCTCAAGAGTCCATACACTGCCAGGCATGTATGAGGCATGCAAGATGCAATAAATGGCATATGTTCACACATGTGACCGGAAAGAAAACTATGCCGCTATTCTACATCCATTTTCTCCAGGTTTCGAGCACAGAGCTACTGCAGCAACTCAGATGAATGCCACCAGCAGCAGATCGCACTGCCTCTTCATCATCAAGATGCATCAGAAGGAGAGCTTGAGATGAATGAATAGATTGATACACTTTTTTTTGAAAAAATACAATGGCATAGAATGCAACATAACTTATAACTTATAACTTATAACTATTCTTTGTGTTTGTGTTGCTAGTGTTGCGAAGAGACAGAGGTGTTGAAAACCGAAGGGTACGGCCCATCTACTGTTGGGGTTCCGGAGTTCGTTTCCCATGCCTTGCTTGGGCTGATTTGTCAAAGCTGGAAGCCACTGGGTCTGCTAGGTGTCTTCATGTTCAGGGCAGCTTGACTCTTGAATGTTCAAGCACATGGTCTCTGAATGAATGGATTTGTTGATATGGAGAACATTGAAAGAAAACCATGTCATCAAATTCAGGAGTTTCCTTCAATCTCACCGTGACAAATTCGTTGAGTGAAAGATTCCAGCATGTTGTTGTTGTAGACAACGCCGCAGCCCACAGCAGCGCCGCCAAAGCGCCGGAGGCACACGGCTCAAAGCACCTCAGTGGTACCTTAGTAGCGGGCCTCAAGAATGAGACCACGTACCTTAGCAAGATGCTGCAAAGATATCGAGCAGCCCCAGCCCAGTCGTTGAGTGATCCTGGATTCAGGCAAAGCTGGTCTTTCATAAGGATACGCCGGGCACTCCCAAGCCACGTGCTGGAAAAATCCCTCACAGTCACACCACGGACATTTTTCCACCTGGAAGCCCGGAATTTTGCTGGCAAAACCAGGACTGACAAACGCGCCAACCAGCACCCCGACAGTGAGGGCGTCTTGGCCATGCGCCAAGTCACGAGCAGATTTTGCCATCCGTTCGTCATAAGGGTAACCTTGCAAATCGTCAACCTCATGCCTTTCAGATTTCAGATATTCACCCCACCAAAAACACCGCCAGGATTCCCGCAACAGATGCCTAGCCCAGTCAACCAAAGAAATGAATCTACGATTGGTCGGGTCCAAGGTGAAATGTTTCCTAAGCCCCTCATGGTGCCATTCCCACGGAGCTACCACCGTCCAGCCCAAACTCTTCAAAAACCGGCGAATGCGATAGGCCGGCCCTTGACTGACTTCCCAGTCTTGTAATGGAACATGTAACTTCATGACTCTCCTAAACACAGCCATGACCGCATCCACGCCTGCACAAAAAGAAACATCTTGACAATGGCCCAGCACAATGCGAATCAAACATGGTGATGCCATGCGATGTTCATATCCAGCTCTGCGAAGCCTTGTTTCAAGTTTTTTGAGATGTTTTTGAACTGGCGCCCGAGCCAGCCATCCAAAAGAAGCCTTAGCAGTTGCAGCGCAAGTGGCCACAAAGGATCTGACAGCAGCTGTCACAGGAGCCGCATGAACCTTACTGGCACATTCGAAGGCCTTGGTCAGTCTTTGTTTTTCCTTTCGAGTGTGCTCTCCCACACCCAAATGCGCACCCAAAACGCAAATATTATCAACCACATGGCTCTGCAAGACCTGATTGCGACCCATATCACGTCGTTTCTGAGGATCCCTATGTGTGAACTGACTTTTATTCATGTTTTCTCTAAATCCCAAATGTTGAGAGTGCTCCCTCCATCTTTGAAGGGTACGGATGAAAGAAGCTAGAGTGCGAGATGCCCAACTGCGATCATCTATAAACACCACCACCCGAGTCTCTGGCTCCTGGGACAAAATGGCACGCGTGGGCGTGCTAAGCAACAAGTTCAACACCCGAGGCGACAGACTGTCCCCTTGTGGCATTGACGTTGCCACTCTCTCAGGCTGCGGCAGCACTTCATTTTGCCATGTTAAGTACCTCCTCTGGGTACTCCACAAGATTTCAATAGCATCAGCCAATCCATGAGGAAATCCATGCCATTTCAAGGTCTGCGCAGCTCTGCTTGGGGTTACAAAATCGAACGCCTTGCTTAAGTCCAGGGTTCCAATATACCATCCCAAGGCAAATTTCTCCCCCAACTCAGTAAAAGCAGATGAGGCATCGTGGTTTCTTCGGCCTCCATGTTGACTGGACACAAGATGATGGGATAACCACTGTTGTTCCTGGTCGCCCCTGAGACGAGCCGTGCAGTAGATTCGCCACCACACTGAGACAGACGTCCGAACTAATCTAATGACTGAGTGGAGCCCAGGGTCTGGGGTTGTGTAGTCGTGTAGTCGTGTAGTACAATGAGTAGGCAAGATTTGAATGTAATCCTTCGCACAGGATGAGCAGAATGCTGGGAACAACAACTTCTCGAAGATGAACCTTGTGGACAGTGTGAAAGCGAAAACTTGTCATCATCGCTTTTGTGACGTAAGACTAGTAGGCATAGCAAGATGTAGTGTTGGGTGGAATTGTGTTTTTTAAAATTTGGTTTTGCAAAATGAAAAAAATGTAAAGTGTGTAAAGTGTTGTGTTCCTGCTGTCGAAGCCAAAATTTCTACAGCGATGGAGCCCTGTCGCATCCTGAGTCGCAGTCATCAGTCGCCTGAGTCACCAGGACTTGGCCGGCAGCGAGCGAGCCTCGCGCACCGGTGCACAGGCGCGCTGCCAATCCGTGATGAAAAGATGAAAAGAAGAGCAGAGCAGATGACAAGAGCGCAAAGAGAGCAGAGAGCAGAAGATAAGGAACACATGAAATCATTGAAACAGCTGACCCAAAAAAAACACACCCCGAAAAAATATACTGTGAGGGGCTCAAAAAATATGTGTGTGTATATATACATATTTCTGGGGTCTGGGAAGCTCGTTCCTGGATTCCTGGGGAGTCCATGCAAATTCGTTTATGTAAAAATTATTGTTGGGTAGTCTTCCTAGGGAGAAGCATGTGGGTTTAAAAGCAAAAATGGTTTTGGGGTTTGGGCTGCGCATGCTTCCCCACAATAGGGAAACCGAAATGAGAACCCCAAATCCCATTTCGATTGAGATTTATGTCAGAATGTCCCCTTTGGACGCATATACCTTTGCATCTCTTTGCATATCTCTTTGCATATCTCTTTGTGCCTTGAATCAGTTCAGAAGCGTTTCATGTACCTCACCTCTACCAATCCAAACTTAAAACACCTACCAGGTACAGTCAACTTTGTAAGAGACAACGTCCCCTCCGGATGCAATACATGATCAAAAATTGCTGGACATGTGTGGGAAAGGGCTGTGAATCAGAAACAACGAGAGCGCAAAGACAGCACAAGACTCTGCAACAGGGAAAGCAATTTGAACAACAGAACGAAGACAAGAGAGAGAGAGAGAGAACGGAGGGTACTTTGACGAAAAGGGGTAGAATCCGGGTAGAAACTGTTTTTTTTCTTTCATTTGCAAACTCCGAAGACACATAGTTTGCAACAACTGTCAGGGCGACTTGCTCAAGGAAGGGGCCAACATCAATAAGAGCTTGCCATTGACTCAGATGCAGTGGAACATTCAGTCATGAAAAGCCACAAAGAGGGCAACTTCAAGCATTGCGACTTGACACATCCCAGCGCAGTGCGCAGAAGATTGTCAAAAGATCAACTTCACCAAAGTACTGCTGAGATATTGACATGTATTGACCATATTGTCGAGATCGGTGCCGAGATATTGAGGTCTGCGTTGGGGAATGTGATCAATGCGCTTAGCAGCATGGCCTCTGGGAGCAAGAAGGCAAGGCATGGCGCCAAAAACACGGAGAAAAAATACCAAGCTTCGCCAAGGGCAGGGTCAGCCCATGTTAAAATGTGACATGCTGGATACATGCTTCCTGAGCTTTGATTACTTCACCATGTACTGAGTTGAAGTCAATGAATTCAATCCCATGACTCTGTCAGGTTTTCATCCCCTACCGCAACTCCAAGCTGACGCGCGTTTTGCAGGCTGGCCATGGCTGCTTTAATGGCTGGCTAACCTGAGCAGAGGTAGAAAGAGGGAGGTTTGCACCTGTCATTCGTGTAATTTGCCACGGTGTGGAAATTAATGTGATCTTGTGAGGAATCCCTGGGTGGGAACGCTTTGACGACTATGATGGTGGCTTGGATGAAGGATTCCAAAAACAGAAACGTCAACAACACAACTCTTTATGGCTCTTCTCTTATCTCCCCATAGATTCGATGTGCAAGCAGGATCAGCACAATTCCTACAAGAACCCACTCACAGAAGTCACCTGAAGTCACCTGAATTCACTTGAATTCACTTGAATTCACTCCGAGTCTAAGGCTGCCTTGTCGCCTTCCAAGACAAACGCAGATGAAAGCCTATCAACTTTGAATTATGCAAAGCCAGAGACCTCAGATGGGGCGCAGACTGTACGTTTGCCATGTTTTGCAATCAGATTTTGATGATTTTGGCATTTTTGGTCATTTTGAGATAGCGCTCAGAGACCTTCAGCTAGGAGGTTAACCTCTCAGTTTAGCCTACCTTAGGCGCGCAAAGACGATCAAAGTCTGGGACTCAGAAGTTGACAAGCACAAGCTGCACAAGCTGCACAAGCTGCACAAGCTTCGCTGTTAGCGCTTCGCTGTTTTCACACAATGTTGTCACAACTGTCACAAGTCTGATTCAACACATTCAACTTTTCAACCATATTCGCCATATTCAGAAAAATTAAATAAACATAAATAAACTTAAGCACATTGGGGATTTTTTGTGCCGCGTTGTGTCGCGTTGTGTCGCGTGCTCGTTGCATCGTTGCACGTCAAAGTTCAGAGTCCATGGTCACGACTTCATGGCTCCGTGTTCACTTGGCTCTGGCAGTGTGGACATGTTAAACCATTGTTAAACCTATTGGACATGTTGCGGCAATGTTCTTGGACACTTTATTAATTCTTTATTTCTATTTATTGTCTTTATTTCTTGCATCGTGTCATCATTGTCATCCTCACTTGCCAAGAGGATGTTCAGCGTGGGATATGGGAAGAACCCCAGGGATCAAAGCTTGAAGGACTGGAGGTGAGTACACTTTGTTACTTCGTTGTATGCTCGTCTGGGATCGTCTTGGGACATGCGCCAGCTGTGGCAGTAATTCCGCTTCGACAAATTGTCATAGACTAAGCATCGCCAGAAAACATGTGCCTGCGCGCGGGAAGAGGAAAAGCATACTTTTTCTCTGAGGGGCCGAGAGAGAGAGAGAGAGAGAGACCTTTCGCGCATGCTTCGGAGAGAAGTGTTGTCGGTAAGCTGTTGGAACTCTTGCTGTTCGCTTTTCGTTGCTGAGGTAAATGCAACAAAGCCTCCAGCTCAGTGTCGATTCTCTCCGAAAGTCTTCGGTGTCAGAGCTGTTCTGAATCTTCTTTTGAACAGCTGTTATATTGAAAGACTTTTTGCCCTAGGAACGACGAAGCCGAGCAGATTGCCAAGCTGGAAGAAGAAGTGGAGGCAAGACCACGTTGTGAGATCCCGACTGATCGAAAAAAACTGAGCTTTGCGTGTCGGAGATGGAAGTGAATCTCAAAGTGAATTTGGCCTGAATTTGCCTTACGAACGGAACTTTGCAAACGCTCGGATTTGACCTTAGTCACATCTAAGTCAGATCTATAAAATCATATAAAATCGATCAAAAATTGATCAAGAGGGTGATGGTCTTTGCATGTCTGCAGTGTCTGTGCAGGCCTTGCGTGCCAAATTGGCAGAGCAGGCCACGGGAGTGGCAGACACCAGTTGCAGCCCTACTGGGTTACCGGGGGTTACCAGGCATGTCAAAAGGCACCAAGTCGTCCCAAGTCGTACCAAGTCGCTGATGAGTGGAACGTTTGGAGTACCTGATGTCTGTCACACAGAGGGGCTTGTTCTGTAGCAGCTGCTGAGGCCGGTATGAGACCCAAATTGCAGAGATGGAAATGTTCATGAAGCAGACATGGGAGGAGCGTCCAAAGTGACTTTGCCAAGTTGCTGCTGCAAAACCCAGCACTTGAATATACTTCAATAGGACAAAGAGAAGCAGTCCCTTCAGCACGAAGAAGAAAGAAAAAGACTTGAACAAGAGGCGCTTCCGGCACATAAAGTTTGAAAGGTTATGTCATGTCCTTGTGAGCTCGCTTCTTCGTCGATCCTTGGCTTTCTCTCCAAACAAGTCACCTTACTTCCATACTTTAAGGTACTTGGCCATATTTAGGATTCTTCTTTGTATGTGACAGCATGTTTTTTTTTCTGTAAAAACTCCTGCAGTAAAACCATGTATTGTATATATCATCGTACTACTCTGAAGCGTTGGTTCAAAAGTACCAGGTGCTTAGCGGATTTCACTGTGTCTTGCCCCATTAGTATATTGTAACTAATAGTTGGCTGACCTGTGAATATACAGGTTATCAGCCGTAGTCTCACTACTTTGCTATGGGGACCCCAACTGACCATCCTCTCGCTGTTCCAGGGTCAGGTCCATCGGCCGTCGCTGTACCAAATATGGCCGGAGGCAACTCCGAGCCGATGGACGACGAAACAATGTTCCAACCCGTTGTCCCAAATCACTAGTGGGAACACCCTGCAGGTCATGAGGGAAGCTGAACAGAGGCACCTTCAGATAATGCATGGAGTAGTTGACTCAATTCGAAACGAATGGTCAAGTAGGCTCGTAATGCAAGAGCAGGAGTATGAGCAAAGGTTGCAGGATGTAGAAGGTAAGGCTATTAGTGCTGTCAACGAGGAAAGGAAACGAGGCGACGAGTTGGAGGTCAGGTTAAATCAGGCTCAGGCATCGCATGACAAAAGAGTAGAAGACTTCAAGGCAGAGGCAAACACAAAGCATGATCAGAAAATTGCAGAGGAAAGGCAACGTATCACTAGTGAATTCGAAGCTTCTTATGCACAGACAGTTGAACATGCAAAGAATGCCATAGCTGCCACGAAGAAGCAATACGAAGATCAGGCTGCAATTGATCAGGCCAGGCTCATTAGTTTGAGGACCGAATTCGAGAACTACAAGAAGGAGATGGCCGAGAAGATCAACGAGGCAGCGGCACAGAATCTCAGCCTTCAGGACCAAATCGATGACCTTCAGGAGCAGTTAAAGCATGTTGCCAAAGCGCAGCATGCCTCCGTTCCGAAAGCATCTGTCCAGAACGCCGAGCCAGCCACCATCGCTGGTGTGCCACACTTCAATATTGCCACTCCTAGAGCATCCGATGCACAAGCTGCCAAAGGTAGTGATGAGCCGATTCAAGAGTTGAAAACGCCTGCAGTGTTGGCACAAGAAGCAAAAGCCAAGTTGGATGAGCTGCTCAAAGGTGGTAGCAACCAGCAGAAACCGGCTGTCGGCAACGACCAGCCCCAGTTGCCAACGCAATCAGGGTTTTTCACTCCCACTGAAGCTATCAAAACTCCCCCAAATGACTCTCCTAAGAGCGTAACCAAGCAACAGCAAGTGATGGGTCCCTCAGATCTTATTGAATTGGTGAAAGCCTTAACCCATAGGGAAGAAAAGGATAAGCCAAAGACTAAGGAGGCCGAGCTCATCAAGCTGAACAACATGCCCGCTCCGGAGTCATATAGGACTTGGAAGAATCATGTCAGGGATGAAGTGAAGAGTTGCTCAGATCGTCCAGACGAAGCATGGCTCTGGCTCAATGAGGTGTACGATCAGGAATGCACCAGAGAGCAGTTGGAGAAGAGACTTCAAGATCCTGGGAAGTTCCTCACGCTGGATACAAAGTTATCAGCAGCGCTCACGCGCTCAGCCGGAGGGACCTCGCGACTAGGATCCTGAACTTCAAAGAGCAACAATCCCGAAAAGGCATCCAGGTCAGGGGAAGGTATGTTCTGCTCATGTTTGAGGACTACTTCAAAACATCAGAAGAAGCAGGTAGCCTTTACAGAGTAGAAGATCTTTTGGGTGTTGTCAAAGTAGGCGATACTGTCCAGGATCTCAGAAGATTCATCAACAAATGGGATGCTACCCTAGCTGGCATGGCTGTCACCCCCGATGATGCTGTGTTAAGGGACATCTTGTTGAGACAGATCCGACCAAGTCAGTTGCTGAAATATGACATTGAGATGTTTGACCGTGTACATGAAAAATCCCATGAAAAGTCCTATAGTTTTCTTCACCAATCCATGAAGAACTTGATCGACCGTGAACGATTAAGGGAAAACAGGAACCGCATTGCGGAGAAGAACAAGGCTGGGATCAAGGACACCAAGGCCGCACCCGCCAAAGGCGATGGTCGTGGTGGCCGAAAGGGCTCTCCGAGTCGTGGTAGATCGCAGGAACGAGGTGGCAAAGGTGACAAAATTTGCTATAAGTTCCAAAAGGGTACCTGTGATAAGGGGAAGAAGTGTCCATTCAAGCATGTCAAAGATGATAAGTCTCGAACTCAATCACCCAGAAGAACCAAAACACGTTCACCATCAAGGGGCAACAAAGATGATAAGGGGAAGAAAATGTCCAAGGAAGAAATGGCCAAGACCCCATGTATCTATCATGCCCAGGGAAAGTGCAGACGTGGTGACAAATGTTTTTATAAACATGATGACAAAGCTGCTGCCGCCACAAAAGACACCAAAAGGGCCAATTCACCCGCTCCCAAAAAGAAGAGCAAGGATTCCACAGCCGCCCCATGCCTGATTCAGAAGTTTGCCTGCATCGTCCGAAAACAGCCGAAGGCAACTTCGTGCTCTGATGAGTCAAGTGTCAGCATGAAGCGTCTTAGATTCCGAAAGGTCCCACATGTGATCGAGGTGAAGGCAGTTGGTCGTCAAGTCCCCGTCAAGCACCGTCCGAGAGAGTTCACTAATGTGTACAAGACAGCTGAAGATGTTCCAGTTTCATCCAAGGTTGAACAACATGAGGCTCAGGTTCGTGCAAGACAGCTTCAAGAAACTGTGAAACTTCATGATTCAGATGTGGCACCTAGTTGTGGGTTTTGTTGTTGGAATGAGGACACATGTGACATCACATGCAAAGAGTGCAGATTCATTAGCGGTCCCAAAGCTCTTAGAGACATTGGTCGTTTTCCGTCAATTGCCACGGCCGCGCCAAAGGCCGGCGTCAGTTGGCTTGTCGACTCAGGTAGCGAATCCGATCTTGTGTCCAAGGGTATGCTGAGGGATGTTAGCGCCAAGAACTGCCGCGCAGCCGAGCATCCGATTTCCTTAGTCACGGCCAATGGCTCGACTGAGGCCAATGAGGTTGCTGATGTCAAGTTGTCCGCATTGCCTGATCCCGTGCATCCGTATGTACTTGATCACACCCCAGCTGTGCTCTCCGTAGGAACCAGATGTGTAGATCAGGGTTACAGTTTTGTCTGGCCTGCCAATGGCAAACCTATCCTAGTCCGTCCAGATGACAAGGTTGTCCAGCTCAAGATCGAAGGTCACGTCCCAGTTTTGGATGATAGTTGCAAGGTCTATCCCAAAGATCAATTTCAAAAGGATAAGCACCTCAGAAAGTTGTTTGCAATGCCGACCTCACGGTCGAGCTCAAAAACCAAGCGGGACGAAGCCCAAGATGAAGAGAGTTGGTGGAGGATGACGCTCAGCAGGAGTACATCCGAAGCCGCAAGACTGAGGATTTGCTGGCCGAAGCTGCAAGTACCCAACATCAGTACACTCATTTCCCCAAGAACCCATTTTGCAGAACCTGCCAACGAGCAAGAATGATGGCTCCCCAAGCAAGGAAGAAAGGTGGTCAGAAGAGAATCGAAACCGAGGTGTTTGGTGACCACATCATTGGGGATCATGTTATCATTAAGAAGAATGTAGAAGAGGGTTTCAGGGGGGAGCAAGTTGCATTGGTGTTGCAAGATCTGCACACCCAATATCGATATGTCTACCCCAGCCAGTCCAAGGACTCACAAAGCTGTGTTGCTGGTTTGAATCACTTCATTGGAACAAAGGATGATGTTCAAGTTGTGTACACTGACAATTCCCCAGAATTGATCAGGGCCATCAAGGATTTGGGTTACAGACATCAAACATCAATTGAATATGTAGATTCATCAAAGTCTGTTGCTGAACGCGAAGTTCGTCAGATGTTGGAAGGTGCCCGAAGCAACTTGTTGCAATCAGGACTTCCTTTGAAGATGTGGCCGTTGGCCATGCAGCATCATGCGACCGCGATCAACGCAAGCCCTCAGCTAGACGGCAGTGAATCCCCATGGCAACTCAGGTTTGGTGAAGAGTTCCCTGCAATGCACATTCCATTTGGTGCCAAAGTGTTGTTCTGGAACAATCCCAAAAGGCTAGAAAACACATCAGGTAAACTCTCCCCAACAGCAAATGAAGGAATTTTCCTTGGGTATTACATCCAACCAGGTCATGATTGGAAGGGTGAATACTTAGTTGCCAAGCTGGAAGCTGCAGACTATCATGTCAACTGGGGTGCACTGACAATTCAAAGAACGAAAAGGTTGGAATTGCCATCCGAGGGTTTCATCTTTCCTTTGAAAGCTCTGATCGACTCGAAAGCACCCAAAGCCGACCGCCTCGAAGACCAGGTCATTCCGCAGACTCCCAAAGCTGTGCCTTTTGAGTCTAGCTTGCATCCGCCACAAGATGAGTACGAATATGAGCCAGGGACGCCTCTACCAGCCGACAGCGATGTCGAGCCTGATGCACCCGAAGCGCCTGTATTCCCAGATCTCAAATTGACCCCCAAAGGTGAAATTATTCCAGATGGATATCATTGGGATGGTCACCGGATTGTACGTAACTACAAAGGTTCAAAGCGTCCGGCAGGGATCGACTCAGAACTGTGGAAGATGTTAAACCCCCAAGAAAGGAAACAGATCATCGAGGAGGAAGCCAAGAATGCAGCTAAGGAGCAGGAGGAAAAGCCAGCATCATCATCTGGCAGCAAGGGCAAAAAGAAGAAATCTTCACCAGCCCGGCTTGAGGCAACTCAATGCCCTCCTGCAACTGCAAAGCTTGTAGGCAATGCTTGGGAAATCATTCCAGCCACTTCCCAAAAGTTTTCCGTGCCGGCAATGCCAAAAGCTGCCGCGCCTGCCACAACTGAGCACCGGCCCAGAATCCGCGAGCTCGTCAGGGAGA